TTGTCTCTCAGTCTTCTGAGTGCCAGGATTATAGGCTAACACCACCACTCTTGGTAGTGCTGAGGATCCAGCTTTGTGCATGCTAGGCAAGCACCCTTCCAACTAAGCTACATCCCCAGCTCTGTCAAACTTCAGTGTTTTGGGTCTATTGTAAGCTACTTTTGTGTCACAGTGGAGCTTGATTTTGTAATGTGATAGTAAATCTTTGCATGAGATATACAACCAAGTAGATTAAAATCCTCACTGCAGGGTCTAAAATTAAAAGATTTCCTTATTACTGAAGCTGGTTAAATGTGGCTGCCTACTTAGGCACTTGCTCAAATTAATGAGAATAATACCTGAGGTACTAAGTACACTACCTGACATTGTGTTGGCTTGCATCTCACGGAGCTCTGCCTGCTTCTGCCTCTCTCCTGACTGTACCACCATACCTGGCCCTTACTGCCTGGCACTTTAAAAATACCAAGCTGGGCGTGGTGGCCCAGGCCTTTAATCCCAGCACTCTGGAGGCAGAGGCAGTTGGATCATTGTGAGTTCAAGGCCAGCCTGGTCTACATAGTGAGTTCAGGTCAGCTGGGACTATAGGGAGACCCTGTCTCAAAAAGACAAAAAAAAAAAAAAAAAAAAAAAAAAAAAAGAAACCCAAAAAACTGTTCTCATAAGCCAGCCTGTCTTTGCCTCCCGAGTGCTGGGATTAAAGGCGTGCGCAACCATACCCGACCACAGTAAGTTCTTTTTATGTGTGTATTAATTCAGTTGTTCCTCACAAGTAACATATGAAGAAGGTACATTACTATTATATGGAGGTAGAAGCCAGGTTGATTATATTTTGTATATCTTAGGATCATGACTGATTTCCTAAAAAACTGTTGAGCTTTTAAAATTATATATATATTTGTGTGTGTGTGTGTGTGTGTGTGTGTGTGTGCGTGTGTGTGTACCTGTTGAAATCAGAGGCATTGGATCCCCAAGATAACTGGTTTTGAATCACAGAGCCATCACTCCAGGTTTTTTAGTTAAGTAATTTTATGTATTTATGGAGTACAGTGTGTTGTTTTGATGTCTCTTCTGTGGATTTCCTGTGGCAATGGATATATCATCTGCTGACAAGAAATTTTGTTTCTTGTTTTCTCTTTTGCTTTTTTTTGAGAGTGTCTCTGTATGTGTCAGATTGTCCCCCTGCACCTATCTCAGCCTCCTGAGTGCTGGGATTAATGTGCTGCATTGGTCTTGGGTGTTTGCTCCCTCCCCTCCCCCCATGCTAGGGATGGATCTAGGACCTTGTGCCCTAGGCAAGCATTCTACCACTAGCATCTAGCCCCTACTACTCACTTCACAAAACCAATGTCAGGTTTGTTGATACTCTCTCAGTTGCAGTTTTCTCTTTCACTTACTCATTTTATTCTTTCTTCAGACGTGGTCTCTTGTAACCCAGGATAGTCTTGCCCTTCTGACCCTCCTGCCTCCATTCCTAAATGCTGTGGTTTATCAAGCCCCGTTTTACATATTGGACAACTTGTGGGAACCTGTTCTCTATCTCTACCATGTAGGACCCCTGGGGCTCAAACTCAAGTTATTAGGCTTGGGGGCAAGTGCCTCTACCCCCTGAGCCGTTTTGCTGACTGCCCCTACTTTTTTTGTTGGTTTGTTTGAGACAGGGTCTCCTTGTGTCCCCAGCTGACTTGGAACTATGTGGACCTGACCTCCATCTCACAGAGTGCTGGGATTAAAGGCGTACACCATCATGCCTGGCTGCCCTGTATCATTTTTATTATTGTATTTATTTTGTCTAAATTATTTTGCTTCTTTCCCTTTATGTTTCAGCATACTGGTAGATTATTTTATGCATACATACACAAATGGCAAAGTGAAATTTACATATTAAAACTCTGGATCTGATCTCCACAACTAGCATGATGGATGTCTTCTGATTTCCACATGTGGACATGTGTACACATACACAATAAGGAAATGTGTAGCTGGGTATGTGAGGCAGGAGAATTGAGAGTTCCATCGTGGCATACAAAGTGACATTCTGTCTCAAGACATAGACATACATCCCAGAAAGAAAGGCACATAGTTATACTTAGGGGACCAGAGAGCTATCTCCGTGTTTGCTCTTGTAGAGGACCCACATGGTGGCTAACAACTGTCCTAAACTCCAGTTTCAGGGGATCCTACACTGTCATCTGGTCTCTGTAGGCATTGCACACATAACGCACAAAAGAATAATTAATTTTTAGAAAAGAATTATACTTAGAGCCAGGTGTGTAGACACATTCCTTTAATCCCAGCAGTTGATAGGCAGAGGCAGGTTGATCTCTTGAGATATGTGTATGTGTGGTCTGTGTTTGCATATGTGTGGGCATGCACGGGTATGTTTGAATGGAGGACAGAGATAGGTTTTGGATGATTCCTTGATTACTCTCCACTAGTAAACCTCAGTGAGAAACTGCAGCTTGCCTTTTTGGTTAGTCTGGCTAGCCAAATTACACAGGGATTACAGGTTCTGAGGAGCCACACTCCAGTCCTCAAGTTTGTGCAGCAAGCACTTTCATGCACTGAACTATCTGCCCAGCCTGGACTAACTTTTGATAATATGATCAGTTGTAAATTCTAGTATATTTATTTTATGTGTATGAGTATATTGCCTGCATGTATGTGAATGCCTCTGTGTTGTGCAATGCCTCGGAGGTCAGAAGAGGGCTTTGGATTCCCCTGGAACTGGAGTTAAGGACAGTTCGTAGCTGCCATGTGGGTGCTGGGAATCAAACCTGGGTCCTCTGCAAGAACAGTCAGTGCTCTTAACCACTGGGCCATCTCTCCAGCCCCAGATTCTAGTATATTTAATTAAATACCCATTAATGTGGTTGTTTTGCAACAAGATGTAATGAAGGTAGGCTGGCCTTGAACCCTGATCTTCCTGCCTCCGCTTGGATTACAGGTGTGTACCACCATGCCCACCTTCCATTAATGGTTTTTCTATGTGAAAACTATTTGGAGAATTTATAAAGGAAAGAAAACTGACCTCAATGTTAAAATAGGTTATTATAATTTATAAGTTTACAAGGAACAATTTGGCTCCTCTGGGGACAGTTGGTGGTGTCTGGAAACTTAAAAATGACAAGGTTTAATATAGCCCAGGTTAGCCTTGAACTCAAGGATAATCTTGAACTCTTTTTCCTGCCTCTGCTCCCCAAGTGCTGGAATTAAAATCACGCTTTTTTTGGTGGTTGGGTGTACTAAGGATTGAATCCAAGGCTTCACACAAACTAAGCTAGTGCTTAGAGACTTTTGATTAGCACCATGATTTTCTGTCAAGTGGAGAGACAAGATTGCTGAGTTCCTTAAAAATCACTAGATGTTTTCCTTTGTGCTTCAAGCAAGCATTTGAGGAGCCAGTCCAAATCTGATTTTGTACCTTCTTGACTAGAATGGGAGGTGTTTTTTTTGTATGTTGAAGGAACCAGAGACATTGACTTTTTGTTTTTTTAAACCCTTTTTTGGCTAGATTTTGGTTAAGGTAAACTTGTAGGATGCAAGTCATGTGCAAGTAAATTCGCAAAGCTGCTTAATGCTCTGCTTTGGCAGGCTATGTGATAGAAGTGGTAAACGGTGGTGGGTAGCCCATTTCCTGTACCTCACACATAAATTGTTGATTTTTTTCTACAAATGACCAGATTTTTTTATAGGTTTTTTTTTTTAATGTACTACAATATTTAGTTTGTGTTTTTAACTCTTCCAAGAAACCCTTGGAGTAGCCCAATTTAATTGCAATTTTTGTGGTGTTTTTAAATTCTTAAATTTATTTTTACTTTCTGAGTGTTTGGCTTACACATAAGTGCACCAGTGTCCTTCAGTGCACACATAAGTCGTAATAGGGTATTGGAGCCCTTGGAACTGGAGTTACGGACAGTTGTTAGCTAGCTATGTGGGTGCTGAGCACTTGAACCTGGGCCCCTTGCAAGTACAGCTAGTGCTATTAACAGCTTAGCCATCTCTCCAGCCCCAATTTTTTTGTTTTGTTTGGATTGGTTTTGATTGTTTTGAGATAAGATTTTACTTGATGGTCTAGGCAGGCCTGAAACTCAATAAATAGGCAGGTTTGTTTTGAACTTAATGATTCTCCTGCCTAAACCTCCTGAGTGCTAGAATTATAAGCATGAGCTATCAAGTTTAATTTACCTGTTTTTTTGTGTTTTTTTTTTGTCTTTTTGAAGCAGGGTCTCCCTGTAGCTCCAGCTGTCCTGGAACTCACTATGTAGACCAGGCTGACCTTGAACTCAGAGAGATCCGCCCACCTCTGCCTCCTGAGTGCTGGGATTAAAGGCATGTGCTACCACGCCTGGCTTTTTTTTTTTTTTTTAAACAAAAAAATTTAAGGAACCAGAGATGGCTCAGTGGTTAAGAGTGCTTCCTGCTGTTATCAAGGGCCCAAGTTTAATTCCTAGCACCCATGTTGGGCGGCTGTAACTCTTAGCTCCAGGGGGATCTGATGCCCTCCTCAAGCCTCTGAGGGCATCCATATACATGGCATATACACATAAATGCAATTTTAAAATAATCATATTTACATTCTGTATTTGTGTGTATGTGAGTGTGCACATGAATGTGTGGCGATCACAGGACAACTTTACAGTTCTCTTTCTACCATGTGGGTTCTGAGCATTGAACTTGGGCTGTCAGACGTGGTTGAAAGTGCCATTTTCTGTTGAGCTGTCTCACCCTACATATCTTTTAATAAACACTTTTCAGCAACCCATGTAGTAGGTAACATACTAACATTCAGTCTTGTTTTCTCTTGGTCTTCTATGCATAGTTCTTAAGTTTTTTAACATGTTTGTGTAACCAAAAATAACCCTTTAAAATTATATTACTATTTTAGTATATGAATAGCTGCAATACAAAACTAGATAAATTGATGCTTACTAAGAACCAGAATGCCTTACCAGATTTTGGTTGTGTCAAACTTAACCTTTATCTTTTCTATTTGTTTTTAGATTTTGGCTCTCTGTTTGACCTGGAGCATGACTTACCAGATGAATTAATCAACTCTACAGAATTGGGACTAACCAATGGTGGTGATATTAGTCAGCTTCAGACAAGTCTTGGCATAGTACAAGATGCAGCCTCTAAACATAAACAGCTGTCAGAATTGCTACGGTCTGGGAGTTCCCCTAACCTCAATATGGGGGTTGGTGGCCCAGGCCAAGTCATGGCCAGCCAGGCCCAACAGAATAGCCCTGGATTAGGCTTAATAAATAGCATGGTCAAAAGCCCAATGGCCCAAACAGGCTTGACTTCTCCCAACATGGGGTTGGCCACTAGTGGAGCAAATCAAGGTCCTACACAGTCCACAGCAGGTATGATGAACAGCCCAGTAAATCAGCCTGCCATGGGAATGAACACAGGGATGAGTGCTGGCATGAATCCTGGAATGTTGGCTGCAGGCAATGGACAAGGGATAATGCCCAATCAAGTCATGAACGGTTCAATTGGAACAGGCCGAGGGCGACCGAATATGCAGTACCCAAACCCAGGCATGGGAAATGCTGGCAATTTATTGACTGAGCCACTACAGCAGGGTTCTGCCCAGATGGGAGGACAAACAGGATTGAGAGGCCCCCAGCCTCTTAAGGTGAGTTCTCTTTCTGTTTGTGTGCAGTTAGTAATACTCTTTGAGTGTTTCAGTGAGAAAGGGAGGGTCTGGGGTTATTCATTTATCATTTACTGTTCATGAATAATCTTATATCTTATATTGTGTGGCATTTCCTACGTGTATGTGCAAATGACCTGCTGCATTGGCACAGATGTTTTAAGAAGCTCCTGTAAAACAAAATGCTTCACATGTATTTAGTATATTTGCCCTATGCTTTCACCATTGTTCCAAATGATTGCCTTTGAATTCCTAGTCTTTCTGTCATTAACCATTGGAGTATTTTCAATTTATTTTTATGTGTCTGAGTTTATTGCCTACATATACATAAGTGCACTGATGTCATGCAATGCCTGCAGAGGCCAAAAGAGGGTGTGGGATTCCCCTGGAACTGAAGTTATAGACAAAGTTGTTAGCTACCATGTGGGTGCTGGGAATTGAACCTGGGTCCTCTGTGAGATTAGCCAGTGCTCTTAACTCCTGAGCCAACTCTCTAGCCCCTCATCTCTTTTTTTTTTTTTTTTTTTTTTTTTTTTTTTTTTTTTTATTTTTTGGTCTTTTTGAGACAGGGTCTCCCTGTAGCCCCAGCTGTCCTGGAACTCACTATGTAGACCAGGCTGGCCTTGAGTTCACAGAGATCCGCCTGTCTTTGCCTCCCAAGTGCTGGGATTAAAGGCATTGCTCCACTATGCCTGGCTCCCTCATCACATTTTAAAATCTAGACTCTTTGTAGCTTCCTTATAAAGTACATATAAGATAACTGGCATCAGTACTGTCTTTAGATACACTTCATTCGTTCTATTATTTAAAATGTCCCTGGTTTGTGGGTTTTATTTGTTTTGTTGTGGTGTCATGTGTGTGTTAGTATGTGTGTTTTGGTTCAAGATAAGGTCTGACTAAATACCTTGCCTGACCTGGAACCCACTATGTAGAGCAGGCTGTTCTCAAACTTACAGGGGTTCTCCTGCCTCTTCAGGGATTACAGGCATAAGCTATTGTGTACGTGTCCAGCTTAAATAACTACTCTTCTCCCTCCCCTTCCTCATCATTCTTTTTTTCTCCTCTTCCCTCCCCCCCCCGTTGTTTCTCTTTACCCCACTCTGATAGCATATTGGGGGTGGAAATGGTGAGAGTCTTTTACTTTATTTATTTACTTTTTTATGCTTTTTATGTTTTTTGAGACAGGGTCTCCCTGTAGCTCCAACTGGCCTGGAACTTGCTATGCAGACCGGGCTAGCCTCAATCTTACAGAGATCTGCCTGCCTCTGCCTCAATCCTCTCCCTCCTGTGGGTATTAAAGGCATCAACTAACATACTCCTCAGTATCTTTCATTTTAAACATTATTTTTAGTTGATGAAAGTAAGCCTTTTAAAAATTCTGTTTATTTCATCAAATAATTCATTTTTATTTTATGTGTATGAGTGTATTGCCTGCATGTGCATAAGTGCACGCATATCATACAATGCCTGCGGAAGTCAGAAGAAGGCATCAGATTTCCCTGGAACTGGAGTTACGGATGGTTGTTAGCCTCCATGTGGGTGCTGGGACTCGAACTCAGGTCCTCTATAAGAGTAGTCAGTCTCTCCAGCCCCTAAAAAATTCTGTTATTTTTATTGTGTTTGAGTGTTTTGCCTGTGTGTGTATAAGTGCATCTGTGTTGTTCAATGCCCAAGGAGGCCAGAAGAGGGTGTCAGATCCCCTGGAAGTGGAGTTACAGACAGGTGTCAGCTACCATTTGGGTACTGGGAACTGAACCCCTGTTTTCTACAAGAGCAACCAATGCTCTTAATGCTGAACCACGGCTCCTTTTTTTTTTTTTTTTTTTAAAAAAAAAAAAAAAAAACCAGGAATGCTAGAATTTTAGATCATTTAGTAACCAGTTGGGCGTTTGAATTTTGAACAAGAGGATGCTAAATATAGTATTAAAAGCCTTTTAACTGTTAGGACATTATAAGGAAGCTGGAGAGATGGCTTATCAATTGCTTAAGAATGCTTACTGCTCTTCCAAAGGACTCAAGTTCAGTTCCTAGCTCCCACCTCTGGCAAACATTTGGCAACTATCTATAACTTCAGCTCCCAAGAAACCAACACCTTCTGGCTTTAGAAGGCTCGTGCATATGGCATTGACTTATAGCTACACATACGCTTAAATTTTGAAATGAGATATAAAGGCTGAGATGACTCAGTGTATTAAGGTATAAGCGAGACAACCTGAGTTCATTCCTTTGTACCAAGGAGAGAACCAACTCCAGAAAGTTGACTCTGCCCTCCACAAATGTGGGGTGAAATGCAGGAGCCCACACGTTGCATATACGCACTCAAACACTCATACAGTTTCTCAAGACTATATAGGATGGGTGTCCTGGCCTATGCTTGTATTCTCTGCAGTAAGATCAGAGGCAGGTAGATCTCTTGAGTTTAAGGCCAGCCAGGGTGCTACAGTAAGACTTTCTCGAAAAGAAGGGGGGAAAAAAAGACATTATAAGCTCATTATATTTTTGTTTTGAAGATTATTTGTCTATGTGAGTGTATGTATGGGTATATGTGCAGCCTGTGTATGGATCCCATAGAGTTGGAGTTACAGCTGTGTAATGCGGATGTTGGGATTTTAATTCCAATCCTCTGAAAGAGCAGCAGGTGCTACCATCCACAGAGGCATCTTTCCAGCCCCTTGGTTTTATTTTTTTAATTTTTAATGTATTTTTTCGTCTTTTTGAGGCAGGGTCTCCCTGTGACCCCAGCTGGCCTGGAACTTGCTCTGTAGACCAGGCTGACCTCGATTCGAACTCACAGAGATCCACCTGCTTCTGCCTCCCAAGTGCTGGGATTAAAGGCGTGCACCACCATGCCCAGCTATCTTTATTTTTAAATGGGAGCATACTAGTAAGTCACCAACACCTTTTTTTTTCTTTTTTTTTTTTTTATTTTTAATTTTTTGGTCTTTTTGAGACAGGGTCTCCCTGTAGTCCCAGCTGTCCTAGAACTCACTATGTAGACCAGGCTGGTCTTGAACTCACAGAGATTCACCAGCCTCTGCCTTCCAGGTGCTGGGACTAAAGGTGTGCACTACCATGCCTGGCTCCACTACCTTTCTTAACTGAAAGATAGCTACACTTGAAAGATAATATTGGAAATAGGTAAGATTTTCACAATGAGCCAGGAGCGAGCTTTCTGTATATGAGGAAAATTTGGAAGAACATGAGAGGTGTATTCCAGCATTACATGTAGTGTTTGCACAGCCCCAATGTAGTGGAGTCTGAAGAAGAGGGATGGTAAATTTGAAGCCAGCCAGGGTTATATAATCTGTCTGAAAGCATTCTGTTTCTGAGTATGGTTGTACACTTCTTTAATCCCAGCACTTGGGAGGCAGATGGATCTCTGTGAGTTCCAGGCCAGCTGGGGCTACAGGGAGATAATATTGGAAAAAGACAAAAAAATGATAAAGGGACACAAATTTGGGATGGGAAGACTGAGACCATCTATAGAAATGAGAACCCTTAAAACTTTTTTTCAAATATTTTATCTATTTTTAATGTCTGTGTGTGTAATGCCAGCATGTAGGTAAGTGCACCCATGTCATGCAGTGCCCTCGGAAGACAGAAGAGGCTGTTGGATCCCCTGGAACTGGAGTTACAGTTGTTAGCTGCCATGTGGGTGCTGGGATTTGAACCCTGGTCTTCTCAAGAACAGTCAGTGTTCTTAACTGCTGAGCCATTTCTCCAGCCCCAAGAATCCTTAAAACTTTTTTTTGCTCATAGAAAGAATATTAACAGTTTAGGAAAGGATTGCTCTTTGGATTCTCCCTTTCTGACACTTCTGTTTCTGTGTCAATGTGACTGACTTACTTGGAGTGAAAGCTCAAACAAAGTATGAAGACAAAACATTGTCTCTTTAGGTATTAGAAACAATTCTTTTTATTTGTTCTTTATTTAATGTATATGAGTGTATTACCTGCATGCGAGTTACACTCAAGTCACGCAATGCAGCAGAGAACAGAAGAGGGCATCAAATCCCCTCTAAGTGGAGTTACTGATGGTTGTTAGCCACCATGTGGGTGCTGGGATTCAAACCCAGGTCCTCTGCAAGAGCAGTCAGTGCTCTTAATCACTGAGCCATCTCTCCAGCCCCATCAACAATTTTTACAGGGAGCACTCCATGACAGATTGCAAAACCCTCCTTGATTGACCCAGTGTTTGCTTACTAAGTCTTTAGCACCTCAAACTTATTTTTAAGTTATATATCTGGGCTTTTTTAATATTTAGGTGTGTTTTGTTTGTGTGTGTGGGGGTGCTTGTAATGGTCACAGGACAACTTTCAGGGATTGATCTTCATTCTACTTTGTTTGAGACATCCTCTCATTGCTGCTTCATAGGACAGGTTCCTTGATCTTGAGAGGTTCTGGAGATGCTATTTTCTCTGCCTCCCCTTCCTGTAGGCATGCTGGGGTTACAGGCACTATTTCAGCTGGGTTTTTCTTGAGCTCTGGGGATTACACATTCAATAGGTTGATGAGGATGGTGGTGGAGTCCCAGCAGAGGCAGGTGGATCTCTTTGCGTTCAAGGCTAGTCTGGTCTACATATCTAGTACCAGGTCAGCCAGAACTACACAGTGTGACCCTGCCTCAAAATAAAACAAAAAACAACCCAGGTAATTAGGCTCGCACAGCAAGCCTGGGGTGTGCTTTATCCCCTAAGCCATCTCACTGGCCCCTAAATTATATTTTTATTTAGCTTATAGAATGGGTTTCCAGATAACTTTTTCATAAATCCATAGTTTTGATTACTTCCCCATTTCCCTGCCCCCTTCCCACTTAAAGCCTTTCTGCCCCCTACTTTCATATAAATTGTTCTAATAGTCCTCCTCCTTTAAGGCCTCCCCTCCATGACTCTTCTGTCTAGCTCCTGACCTCTGCAAGCACTCTAATTATTAAACATAAAAGTCTAAATATTTGAAGCTAAAATCCACAGATGAGAGAGATCA